CTAGGCTCTAGTGAAGACATACTCATGGCTTACTATGGTGGGCTGCTGGGCTCTAGTGAAGACATATTGTCCTGGCTGTTATTGCTTATGTTTTTACTCTGTCATCTGGGCACCTGGGTTTGGGAAGATGAGAAATTTAGGTTCTGAAATATGAACTTGTCTGTGGTGGGTAAGTGTTTTGTTCCTTGGTTTCTGTTGCCTGCTCTGGTCCTTAGCGGAGTGTGGTGGCTGTGTGTTTCCTGGTAGGGAATTCTGTGGGGATTCTAAGAGATGTGACAAATGGATTTTCTAAACAAAATGTGATTGTAGGTATTGGGAGCTGATACTTAGGAATGGGGATGGGCTAGATGGAGAGCCTGAAGGGGTCCACGAGATCGACGGAAGCATGGTGTTCCACCAGGATCTGCTTAGTCTCCCGGGAGTGGTGGCAAAGAGTGAGGACAGACTACTGTCTGCTACAGAGACTGGGGAACTGGACATGAAGGAGAGGAGGGAAAGTGGGGATCCAAAGCACCTACCTGCTTTCCTGGCCTACCTGTTTCTCTGGCAGGCTTGGCTGGTGCGATCCCAGGGAATGCCTGCTGGATTGGGAAGTTGGGATAACAAGATGAGTGAGGTGGGAGGTTGGAGGGGAAGGTCTATGTGATCTACTGGAGATGGAGGCAGAGGAGGGAGGGAGGTTGCAGCAGGGGTCTACTACAGAGCTGGGAGCAGGACTGTGGGATTGGGTTTGGAAGGAAGAAGGCCAGGTGAAGGTCTTCAGGTAGCTTCAGGTGGCCTACCTGCTTCTCTGGCCAGGGTCATTAATGATTTCTACGGTTCTAATCCTGCCCCAGCAATAAGGGGGAAAAAAGCCAACCTTAGCTCCCTGGTGGGACAAGCTGCACACCTTGGAAATGATTAAATAGTTTAATGCTCAGTGTGTGCTTACAACCTCATTTTTGAAAACCTAGAATGGTTGGCTTAGATAGCAAGGCACAAAAATGGAATTTCCACTCACTTTAATAATCTTGGACTCAGAATTTCTATAGACTATAAAACATCTTTCTCTGAAAATGGCACCTTGGGTTTTAATTAACTCTTGTATCATCTATTCAAGACTAAAAGACAACCTTTTGAAAGCTGGATAGCACTGGGTTTGATTTTCACACCCAAAAAGCAAGATGGTTGCCTGCCTGTTCCTGCTCTATGCTCTTATAAGCTTTTCCCACAAGCTGAGAGGAGGCGCACTTACTCTCTACTCAGCTTCTACTGGGAACATGGAGAGGGGGGTAGAGGAGCAGGTGTGGGAAGTGGCTAGAAAAACATGGGTGGGTGCTGGCCTATGGCTACAGCTTACAGAGAGGACACAACTACAGAGATTCCAGAGGCCTGCCCTTGACAGGAGCAGTACCCCAGGCACCCTCAGTCTCACTGTGACAGAGGTTGTTTTATTACAACCTTGGATTGCATCTAATGAGTTGGCTCTTCCTTCTAAATCATTGGTCATGCACGACATGGGTGGTTTTCTGTTTTGCCTGCACAGTAGTCCATTGTACCTCACAGCTTCAGACACCTGAACCCTCTCACTTCCCAACCAGGGAAAGCAGAAACTCGTGTTGTAGCTTCCTGGCATAGCCATTTTCTTTTAGTCATGGAGCATATTTTATATATTTCCTTATAGGGCTCTTTCACAAGATGATCAAGATGACATCCACCTAAAATTAGAGGATATAATTCAAATGGTAAGTTCAGCCACAGTATCCTTGAAGTAAGCAAACTCATGTAACCAACTCCATGGTTAATCACGTGTCTTCCTAAGAAGCTGGAGGAGAGCCTCACTCAGCACAGACTCCAGCAGCTGGTGGGTGATGTTAGCATCGGCTTTCATAGTTTTGAGTTTGCTGCTTTTTCATTCAGGGATAGACTCCAGTGAAGACTCTTTGCACTCCATGGATGCACTGTATTTTACTCCTTTATCATCTCTTGCAGACAGACTGTCCAAAGGCCGAGTGCTTTGAGACATTGTCAGCCATGGAGCTGGCGGAGCAGATCACTCTCCTGGACCACATTGTTTTCAGAAGCATCCCCTATGAGTGAGTGCCATGTCCCCTCGCAGGAAGTAGTTGGGCTAGAAGCTGTGTTATCTCTAAGGCAGACAGGTGTGCAGTGCGCTCACCCATGTTCAGCTGTGTGAGTCTCCGCCTCAAGGCTCTTTGGCATGCATGAATCTCTCCTGGTCTCAGTTCATGTTGGCATGCTGACTTTGGAGGCCCTTGAGATGGTCTTGGTGTGTGTTTCTTCTATATGTAATAAGGTTGTCAAAGAATGTGAATTTCTCTGTACTTTTCTATCTCCAAATTCCAGAAACCTCAGCAGAGCTACAGAGGTTGTTCTTAACACTGAGTATGTTTAAAGCCACATGGGACTCGTGTAGAAAATGCATTCTCGGATATAACTTTCCTGTGAAATTCCGAATTTAGTAGGTTTGATTGAGGTCCAGAAAGTTTGTCTTTCCATGGGTACCCAAATACTTTGGAGGGATTTACAGCTTCACTCTGAGAAGAAGTGAGCCAGGGTTAATGCCATAGTGTCCACTACAGGTCTTCACCCGCCTCAGTAAATTAGTACGTGGCGCTCTGCTGAGCTTCATGGCTCTGGACCTGCTGTTCCCTCTGCTTCATTTTTCCCCATGTACAAAGGGGAGGCTCCTTAAACCTCCAGCAGCCACACTGACTTGAATCTTTGTTTAGACAAATGGCAGCTATTGGTACAGATTGTCCACGAACCAGTAACCACACTGAAGGTAACGGAGGGCCTGGTCAAAACACAGAAATGGGTCCTTATCACATAGGACGTCCCTGGTGATGGAGGGGTAAGTGAGGACAGATGGAGAGGCAGACCTGCCGCAGAGTCATAAAACCATGAGGGTAAGAGCCCAGGAACACTCATGTAGACTGTTCCTTTATTCACTTTGTCTTTTCTTCTTCTTGGCTTCCCAGCATTTGTAGACCTACCCATGAACATGGGGGCAGAGCTGAGATAGGAATCTGACTCATTGGCCATTCAGATGAAGCCAGTGGCATTCTGAAGACTTAGATCAGGAAGCACATCGTCCCTCCCACCCCTGCTGCCTCACTTTCTCATTCCCCACTCCCCGGAGTTTGAAAGTGGGTCCATGTCTCTACAAGAGGATAGAGAGCCAGGAGAGAAGTTGGTGTTGCCCCTGCTGTGGGCTCTTCCTGGGACTCCCATTTCTTCCCGTGCCCTGGAGATGCCCACAACTGCTAGCAGTTATTTCCAGCTGTGAACTGTGTCTACATTTCTATGTGTACCTGCAGAAGAGGAGCCAGGAGCAGTACCAACAGCATCAAGGGACAATAAATACTAGGGATGTGTTAGAATGGTTTCATTTCACATTGCTTTCTAAATGTCCACAGAGAATAATTCCCACACACTGTCTCTAACTGTCCCATGCGCACGGGGGTCCAGTGACCTGTTCACAAATAAAGTGACTGCACAGAGAGGCCATTGGCCCATCCCCTGACCAGGCTCCGTTCCTTAGCCCTGGGATCCTCAGAAAAAGATTCTTCAGAGAAAATCAGAGCAGAGTGGAAGGAAGAATTCTGTTCTAATGAAACTTCTGGTCACAATAGACCCTTTGGGATCTTAGCAGATACCTTTAGAAAAGTTAACCCAGAGGAAGTAGCCCCTGACTATTGACTTAATATTTACTTTGTTTCCCTTATGTTGGTGGCGCTTTCTAACTTTAGAGAAGCCTTTATTGAAACAAAATTCCAAACATGGAGACTGAAAGATCTTTTTCATTTTGGCATTAAATGGTGGAATGCCAGACTTAAGCTGCAATCCCTTAGAAATGGCCAGTAAAAACAGGACAAATGATACTCTGTGAAGGCTAACTTAAATACACCTGTCTAATCTGCAGGGGCTAGCCACCACTTCTTACAAACTTCACTAGCTTTGTGTATTGCTTTGAACTTTCAGAGAGTTTCTTGGGCAGGGCTGGATGAAGCTGGACAAAAATGAAAGGACACCTTACATCATGAAAACCAGCCAGCACTTCAATGAAGTGAGTAACGGACTACAGCGTGGGTGTGTGTGCAGAGGGTGAGTGCTGTGGGTTTTAGGCTCCTCCAGACCAAGCGACTCTGGGACTGTGGGTGTAGCTCAGTGGAGGAGCACTTGCCTAGGTATGCACAAAACCCACAAGTCAGCACCGTAACTACTGTTTAAACAGAGCTAATTGAGTAATCAGGACAAGCTCAAACCTCCTCACATTCTCAAAGGGATGTGATAATCTCCAGAAATAAGAGGTCCCGTTTTGATAGTCCCCAGACTGGTGAGTGCTCATTTGTGTGTAAGAATGTTATTGCTGCTATCACAATCACTGCAGACTCACACACAGATTAACTGAATGAGTAGCATGTATACTGACCCCTAGTGGTGGCAATAAGATTGCATCAGTGTGACTGCCCAAATTAGAGACCAACCTTGGAAGGGACTCCTGTAGCATAAGCTCATCGCCAGCCTCCAGCTGTAGGATGAGGCATTGTTTTTTGTTTGTTTGTCTGTTGTTTTTGTTTTTTCAATTTCTCAATTTTTTATTTTTTATAATTTATTCATCTTATATCCATATTGTAGCCCCTCCCTCATCTCCTCCTGGTCCCACCCTCCCTTCCTTTGTCCCCCAAACCCCCTCTTCTAGACCACAGAAAGGGGGACCCCCCCTCCCCTACCATCTGACCCCAGCCTATCAAGTCTCACCAGGACTGCCTGCATCCTCTTCCTCTGTGGCCTGGCAAGGTCACCCCACCAGGGGGGGAGTGATCAAAGAGCAGGTAACAGAGTCCATGTCAGAGACAGCCCCTGGTCCCCTTACTAGGGAACCCACGTGGAGACTGAGCTGCCTATCAGCTACATCTGAGCAGGGGGTCTAGGTCTTCTCCATGCATGGTCCTTGATTGGTGCATCCAATCTGCAGGCTTCCCTGGGCCCAGATTTGTTGGCTTTGTTGGTCTCCTTGTGGAGCTCCTGTCCCCATCTGGTCCATCTATCCTCCCAATCTTCCATAATCTCCCTGTGCTCTGCCAGAATTTGGCTACTACTATCCTGTTCCCTCTTTTTAACTGCTTCCAGTGTCTATCCTGTTTGCCCTTCTGAATGAAAATTAAGCGTCCGCCTTAGGGCCCTCCTTGTTTAGCAGCTATGCCGCTCCTGCGCACATGCCTGAAAGATGCTCCACCACACAACAAGGACATTTGCTCAGCCATGTTCACAGCAGCTTTATTCAGAATAGCCAGAATCTGGAAACAACCGAGATGTCCCTCAACCAAAAAATGGATAAAGAAATTATGGTACATTTACACAATGGAATACTACTCATACAGTACAGGATAACTATGTTACAACCCACAAAGACTCTTCACTGGTTCTGTTGTAACGGACTTTGTCTTGTGAGAGAATAAGTAACATCTGTGGAGGAGGTGTTGCGGGCTATCCAGACAGAAGGAAGCTTCCTTTCTAGTTTCAGTACGGTAGAGTATGAAGAACAGTGATGGTGTTGTGTGAACAAAGGAACTCCATTGGTGAGTGAGCAGGTCATGGAAAACCAGGGTACCCAAACAGTGCACACGGTCCACTCAGAATACATGCTGCTATAAAGCGAGGGGTGTGCTGCATTCCCAGGGCTTTTCTCATACTTGTTGCTTGGACAGCACTCCAATTGAAGACTCAGCCCCAGGCCCCAGACCACACATCTCCTGTCCTAGGACAGCCACGGCCTTGCGTTCTAAGCCAGGGGCAGACCCAGTAGCACTGCTGAGCCTGATTCCATAGCTTCTTGTGCAGGTGGTGGCATCACCATGCCTTCATCCAGGCATGGAATCTAGACATCACCTGTGCTTCCTTCCTGTCCACTCCTCACCACTATCTCAGCAGAGCAAAGGTGCAAAGATGGGAGGTCACGGCAGAGCAGAGGACCTGAGAGCCAGATGAGGAGACAGGGCCTGTAGATGCTCCACTGAATAGCTGAACAGCTAAACAGCTGGGGCTGTGTCGTAAAGATGAGGGGAAACCACAGGGCGATTTTTGTCGGGAGTGCCATAATTAGATTAACACTCGAGAGCAGCCCCACCATGACACTTCATGCAGCATGGGCCAAGGCAGTGAGTTGGCTAGACTGGCTGGCCAGTGAGCTCCTGTCTCCCTCCACTAGCATTAGAGTCACAGGTGCACACTGTCACGCCAAGCTGTCAGGGCCTCACACTTGCAGGGCAAGTGCCTTATCTACGGAGCCAACTCCCCAGCCATGGAGCAGACCTAACTGCATTTCACTGTATGCTCTTTACTTGTTTGTGTATTTCTCTTGGCTTCTCATCCCACATAGCTGGACTCAGAACACCTTAAGGCCAGTGCATTAGTCAGCTTTCTGTTACTATAATGAAACACCAAAGATGATGAACTTATGAAAAGAAAAGGTTTATTGGCAAAGAAGATTGCTCAGGTCACAGATGGGAAGCAAAAGAGTGGAGAAGGATCATAGCTGCCACAGTCGCCTTCAACACATGCCTCTTTGCTATAAAGACCAACACAGCACCTTCCAATAGGGCCACCCTAGGGACCAGACCATTGAACTCATAGTCTATGGGACACAGTCAACATCCCAGTTGTGCCAGTCAGTGACTTGGATTTCTTTAAGCCTCTGTTCATAGCACCTAAGACAAATGTGTCCTCACATTAAAGCTGAACAAATGATTAGCCCTAGGTGTTTTAATGACTTTCTACATTACACTCAAAGGCATGGTAAATGCCTATGTATCTTCAAAGAGTTGGGGTGCCCATCAGATTTATTGTGTGAACACAAGATCACATATGCTCTGTGCCCCTTTTATAATGGTTATATTCCATCCTTTTCCATGTTGCAAAAATTGCACCGCTTCAGCTGGCATTGGTTAGTAGAATTATAGTCCTTACCTTTGGAGTTTGGTTGGCTTTTGCCAGTGAAATTTTACAAGAAGAAAGTGTGCTTTCTTTTTCTACACTAAGTGATTTTCTGGTTTGAGAGCTGAGCAATTCAGAATTCAGACTAATGGGGACTCATGGTTTTTCTTTCTTTGTGATAACTGAGTTTTCCCAGAGTGTGTTATCTGCACACAGTTGGGGGGAAAGGAATATGTTTTCTCAAAGAGTGACACCCTGGTCTTCAATGTCCTTTCCCCAGTAGGTAGGTCATTCCATTTCATTCCCTTTCTTGACAAGGACTCCATTGTTATAACTACCGATTTAAAAAGATAATACAGTATTCCTCCAACAAGCTGGATTCCAAAAAGCCTTCATTCTCAGGATGAGCAGGTGTGGGTGGTTTGCTGCTGTTGTCATTACAGAGTCCAGCCTCTTTGGAAGCTGGTCTCTAAATATGGACAAAGGGTTTCACACCACTTACTAGCCTTCTTTTCTTACATGCTCATAGGACATTAAGATATTTGCTGGAATGCATTTCTCTGCTCTGGTGTGTTTGATTTTCTTAGATGAGTAACCTGGTGGCCTCCCAGATAATGAATTATGCTGATGTCAGCTCCCGTGCCAATGCCATTGAGAAGTGGGTAGCGGTAGCAGACATTTGCCGATGTCTACACAACTACAATGGCGTTCTGGAGATCACCTCAGCCTTAAACAGGAGTGCCATCTACAGGCTAAAGAAAACCTGGGCCAAGGTGTCCAAGCAGGTGAGCATCCGTGTGCAACACACCTTCCCACTGAGAGGTGGGGAGAGCAAGCCGTGATGAATATTGCTAATTAGGAAATCATTAGCTGAAGTGAGCAGTAGAGTTGCCAAAGGAAGGTGCCAATGGATAATTACCCTGCTCTTACCACATAATTAATTTCCCTCCTGTGTGTCTCCAAAACACTCATTAAAACATTTAGGACAAGCTCAAACAATGTGCTGTCAGTCATAACTTGTCTTCTGAATTCTTCTGGAACTGCCCGTTGGGTTTCTCCCCTCCTCCCCTCTCCTCCAAGGCCTTTGTTCCCAGGGACCTGAATGTTCAACATTTTCTCCATTGTTCTGGGAGCAGCTTTAGTGACTTAGACATGCAGATGTATGACTTCTGTTTCCCTTCCACTAGATTTAGCTTACCAAATCATACTGTTCTCCTCTTTTCTAGCCTTTTCCTTGGGTATTGGTGAATTTTGGAGAGGGCTTCTAGAAGGTTGTCTGGAATGTAAAATGATTAATAATAATAATGCATGCAGGAAATTAATACAATGGCAGTTTTTTAAGCCAGCAAGTTCTCCAATGATTGACATAGAGAGACTATGATTTATTATTAAGCTGTAGACACTATGCTAGTCAGGTTCTGAGCTATTCTAATCCTACTACCCATAAAACCTACATAAATGCTTGAAATTTGCCAATTTCATGACTCTGGGGCAGCTTCTACATCATCACGATGTTCTCAGGACACACTTCCCTTGGTGCTCCTACTTCATCCCATCTAGTGCAAACTCCTCCTCTCTCTCTGCCTCATGGTCCCCCTTTTAACCCAAGCCCAGGTCCCTAAGCTCCACCTCCCTCTCTTCTGCCCAGTCATAGGCTTCAGCAACGTTATTAACCAATTAACTGAAGTAGGTAGAGGAAACTTTACACAACACAGACCTTTGTACCTCCTTTCGACTGCAACCAGATCTTGGGGGCCAGTTTCAGATTAGAATCCATAGCGCCAGACCACCCCCAACACTGGAAGACTTCCTCGGGGCCTCTAGAAGGTTGTCTCCATCTCTGGCCCTAGCCCTTCACTGGTTGGTCATCAGGTGTAGGCTGTTGTGAATTGTTTGCTCCTGGCTTGCGCATGGTTTGTCCAACCTGCCTAGGAGCAACAGTCCATGCCTATTGCAAGGGAACTGGGATAGGCCTGTCTTGTCCGCTCCCATTGGCTCCTTTAATATTCTGAGCCTGGGGGTGTCTCACCTCTACCACATACTATTCTGCCCTTGGTGACCCTGTGGTGTGTGAATTCTTCATTATTCAGTTACTACATTGGTCCTCACAAAGGGTCTTGGAGGAATCTCGCAGGCTTCACTTCCTGCCTTATTGCTGGTTGGGAGACCTGTGCCATGTACTCTTTAACTTTTGTCACACTTTGCTATGCACCTTGATGTACCCATGGGAACTGGAGACTGGTATCCCATAATGCCTGCCTCTCAGGGCCAGGCCAAACAAGCATAAATGTATTCTGCTGCCATTTCTTTGAGGCTTCGGGCCTGTTGCCTCTCAGATGAATTCATGTCTTCTATCTCCACTTACCTCTCCGACACGACACCTTCTCTCAAGAGCAGAAGTTTCTTTAAAGTTCTCTAGGCCCTCAGAGATTCCATCCTACCTTACTTCTTTGTAAAAAAAAAAAAAAAAAAGATTGCATGCCGAAGCTTCCTTAGACCTCAGCCAGTTCCAGATCAGCAAAAAGGCCCCTCTGAGACCACAGAAATTTGGATGGAATGGCCGCATTTTGGATTGTTCTTGAAACTGATGGGAAGCTGTGGAGCTCCTAGCTAGCCCAAGACAGGGTCACATGATCTTCAAGCTAGGCATGTCAAGTGCTTCTTACAGCTGGCCCTGGCCCTGGAGCATCAGGTCCCACCTAGGTGTCTGTGTATGCCCACCAGGAGGAAGTCCTCATCCTACCCCCCCAGGCCACATGCCCATTCTGCCATGCCTATGGACGAAACTCCAGACCACAGCAATGTTAGGTCTTCATAAAGCATAGAAGTAACTTGCCTAGCAAATGGATGAGCATGACGACTAAAGAGCATGGAGTGGAGGATATTGTTTAGTCTAATTCCAAGCAGCTGAATAAGTGCTTCTGTGGTTTGGAGATCCGTAGTGAGAAGACTTACCTTGGGCAGGGCCTGTAGCTCAGCCGTGGAATCCAGCATTCACAAGGTCCCAAGTCAGGTGCCCAGCACTTCAGTAAAGAATGAGATTGGTCCTGGAGGCCTTTAGGACAACTCCCTTTTAATTTACTCATTCATCTTGCACCGAAGTTCCGGAGTCTTCTTTACTATACTTTTCTTCTTTACATTTTTCCTCATCCTGTGGCAAAAGCCTGGACATATGCAAGCCTGTGTGTTCCCTTCAGTCTTCTCTTCAACATTAGCATCTGCCCCTGAGGAAGGGAACACAGTGCTGCAACTCATTCTTGTCAAATTCTAGTGTTGCCTTGACAAACTAAGGTATTTTTTTTTCTTTTTAGACAAAAGCTCTGATGGAAAAGCTTCAGAAGACGGTCTCATCTGAAGGAAGATTTAAAAACCTTAGAGAAACCCTTAAAAAGTATGTCTATCTGAATCATAATGATACACAAGTGAAAAATATGAACACATCATTTATATGGCGTGTGAACAGTGGCCTATCCCCTTCACTGCTGGAAAGAAGTGATAGGAAGAACTCCGTTGTTACAGTGTTGGGGATTTTTGCTTTTCGCTTGAGATTCTGTGCAAATAGTGAGAATGTCGGGGATCTGGACACAATGATCTGCTGCATTTAATCTAAATATTCCAGAAGTAGTTGATTACTGTTACTAATTTTTGGTCTTTTATACCTAGATCATTCTGTTATGCGCACACACACACACACACTGGGAGGGAGAAGAGTAATGACTCTATTTGCTCCCAAGTGGTTTTCTTATGGTTTACCGCATGAACTTGGCTTCCTCTGGGAGGGGCTCAGTCTTATGACCCACTAGTGTAAGATGAGTGATAGTCACGTATCCACTGCTACCACACCAGAACAGCAGTGACGGCATAGCAAGTACTTGCTAAATGCTTATACACTGTATGTTGTGTGCTCCACACACCTCTCCTAAGCCTACAACAACAGACTAGCTTTCCTGTCTCTGTAACAGGTGAGAAGAGTAGAGATGAGAGCATACATACTCTGCTCAGAATCCCTGAGCAACTGGTCAAGCTGGGATTCCTTCCACACCAGAAGCCATGTCCTTAACCTCAGGCCTCACCAGAAAAACCAAATAGACCCAGTGTGCCCAAACGGGTGTCTCCTTTCATCACTTCAGTGTGTAGCTATGATGGATGTTAAGTCCGAGTCTTGTAAAGCATTCCACAGTAGCTAAACAGGAAGTATGTTTCACATGGTGCATATTCTAACTGTGTGTGTGGGAATAAGCGCCCCTCTTCCTGGTCTTGCAGCTGTAACCCCCCAGCTGTCCCCTACCTTGGGATGTACTTGACAGACCTGGCTTTCATTGAAGAAGGGACACCGAACTTCACTGAAGAAGGCCTCGTCAATTTTTCCAAAATGCGAATGGTAGGTGGCCATTTTGTGATTGGCCTGTATTGGCCAGCTTAGTGAGAAGAAGCTAGGGAATAAGGTAGTTTGTGAGCTTCTACATCATAAGGTAGATGAGAGGTGGAGACACCATCTGTCAGCTAGCTGAAGAGATGTTTGGCAGCCCCTTCTGCCAATAGTCTAGGTCTAGGCTGTTGGGAATAAAGCTCCAAAGATGGTTCCCTTACCCTGACCAGTAGACAGATGCAGGCATCCCCTTGCTAGCTATCCATTTTCTGAACCCCAAGCCAGAGGCTAGAAGCCCACAAGAAGAAGCACCTAGGGCCCCTCCAACCTCCAAACCCGATGATTATGAGTTTAGGCTCTTCTTGTTTTGCTTTTCTCTTGGCTCCGTGAAGATAAAGTCTAGGCTCCTCCTACCCTCATGGAGGACAGGACTCAGGGATGTTGTGCGGGGAGAATGTGCTACGATGTAGAGGGATGCTTCTGAATTGCTCTTGTTTTGTTTTGTTTTCTGTTAGATATCACACATTATTCGAGAGATACGTCAGTTCCAGCAGACTGCTTACCGCATAGACCAGCAGCCAAAGGTAACACTGTATGCCAGGAGAACCTGCTCAGACAGGCACAGAGACTAGTGGACTGTGAAACCACACAGCTGAGCAGCAGCACCAGAAGCAGACTTACTGACTGGCTGAACTAAATAAACTAGAAAGGATCAGCAAGTCTGACTGAGAAAAAGGAAGCTGAGAGGATCAACTCATAGTCTTGTATTCATTGTTAAACCTGTGGCTCTTGGGATCTACCTCTCTTGCTTCTGTCCAGTACTTCCATCCCATTTCATCCTCTCCAGATCACAAAATTCATTCTACAACTAAACACAGTTTTCTAAAAACAAAACCAAAAATAAAGAGAACAGTAGCTTGCTTTAGTCTCTTCCTTGAGTACCTATCTTGGTTTCTTTCAGTGATGGACTATATATACAGTGTAAGGTGAAATAAACCCTTTCCTCCCAAAGTTACTTTTGGTCATAGCAACAGAAATCAGCCTAGAATAGTGAGGTTATGTATTTGTCAGAACTATACTCACATGGGTTATGAACACTATACTTCAATAAGAAGGGATGTTTTCATGGAAATATGCCACACCCTTACATCTTCATTTCTAGTGCCATTTCTTTTCCTTATTCCTGGTATCTGTCCATCATAACATGCACACATGAACACAAGAAGCAAGCTGACAAGGATTTACCCTGGCCACGTGGTGGTAAATTACTGACACCACCTCTACATGTATCAGTGTGTGGTCATTCAAGGCAGGCTAGGCTATTCTCTCAAGACTGTAAGCCAGGAGAGCTCCATGTGCCTGTGTTACAGAGAAGAAAGTAAACCTCAATGGGTGATATGATTCTATCACAATAAGGTGGAAATCAATACTGTAAGTATGTGTAATAAAGAGAATGCACAGTAACACATCTGGGTCACATCTGACAACAGCCCTCAAAGGTGCTGACTAGGCTGAGAGGTTGGGAGAGGACAGCTTTATAGCAACATGTTCATTAGTTTTTGTTTTACAGAAATCCTAAATGGAAAATGTTGAGTTGTGTCAGATTAATTCAGAAAATATACAGTCGATCCTCTGAGAAAAGCATCACCTGAGCGCTCTCTCTCTCTCTCTCTCTCTCTCTCTCTCTCTCTCTCTCTCAGGTCATACAGTACCTGCTTGACAAAGCCCTTATCATAGATGAAGATACACTCTATGAGCTATCACTCAAAATCGAACCTCGACTCCCTGCTTGAAGATCTGACCTTGTCCCTGAAACCAGAAGAATTTCCTGAAAAGTGGGCCACACTTGGCACAGGGGGGACCCAGAGGGACAACGCCTGTCTCCTTTCACCACCAAAGATGGATCCAGACTGCAGTTCTGTCTCCAGCCAGGGTGAAGCCCAGTGGCATGGGTCAGAGACAGATGTCCCAGCCTCGGGCGGGAAGGTGTAAAATTTGAGGCTTAGGGAAGCTGATGACATAATTTGCATAGGGATGCAATGTAGGAGATGCTGGTGACAACTGGAATGGAGTGGCGTGAGGGGAGCTCCTGTCCCGTGTTCTGCTAGAACTCGGGGACAAGGCCTAACTGAGAAGACTGTCATGTTTCTTTGGCACTCTGCTAGCCTGGGCACACCTGTACCAATCTTCCAGGACTTAATTGCTTCTATTACATTCCCTTTATGCCAAACTTCATGGCCAGGCTGAAGCTTGCTTTCTAAGCCCGACACACATGCAGTTTTGATATGTAGCATGAGCATGGTTCTCAGTGCATTCCATGTGCATGGGCGGAGTGGTGTGCCCTGAAAACAGCCTGTCTAGCCTTCCGGCAAGGGGTCAGGAAATAAAAGGTTAGGAAATAAGCGGATTTGTGGGTAGCATTTCCTTAATTACAAGTAAGCAGTGTCCCACAGGCTTGAGCAGGGGCTTCACTGAGAGACTGGTGGCCCCAGGAAGCTGCCCCCTTGGAGAGGCAGCTGTGGGGGTCGCACGCAGTGAGGTGCATGGCCATGTCAGTTAGCCAACAAAACTCTGGAATGTGATAATAAGGCCACCAAGTGCTATGGAGAGACATACCGTTCACTAAGCAAAAAACGTAGGCCTAAAAGTCATCTTTGTACCTGGTTTTACTTGTTTTCTTCCCCCTAATGTCCCCTAGAAACCTTTTCTGATGTTCACAAACTTAATTTGGTTCATTGTGAGCATTGGCTGTACTTTAAAAACATTTTGTGGAGGTTTTCTTTTGAAAGCCCACATTTCTGTGCACTATTGGAAGATGGTCCTCTCTCCTGTCTCAACCATCTTTGTTTAAAAATGGTTCTGAGATCTTTCTGAGTAAGAATACTCAGTGTGTGAGAAATGGCCCAACCATTTCTGCTCTTATAGGAGAAAACCAAATGTAGGGGTTTGCCCTGTGCCCCAACCCTGGAGAAGTGACCTCACTCTTCCCAGGATGGTCTGTGGTTAAAGGAACAGGGCTCCGTGGTTACCCCCTCTCCTATTCTCAGGGAGACCACTGCTTTAAAGGAAGGAAGAAATGGCAGTGAGGGATTCTTATTACCTGAGCCTTTTCTACCTGGCATTTTCTCTTAGGGGCATGATGCTTATTCATGCTGACAGTGAAGATTTATTTGTCTAGTTATTTTCCCTCTTCCCTTGCATTTTCATTATGTGGTAGAGCTGAAAACATCCCACTGGCTCCAAAGGCCCAGTGAAGAAATAGCATTGGTAATGGACCATAGGACTAGAGAAGGGTACATTTCCTGTAAAGTAAGAGTCTTCCCTGTGCAGAACTGCATAAACATGCATAAACTAGGTAAAAATGTTTGTATTATATGAATTCCACTCCAAAGCTCTTTTCATATTCGCCAGTGGTATAGCACTAAGGGCCACCTATAGATGCTTTCTCCTTTCTACTTATTTATTTCCTGAGTTGCTTGTTTGTTCTCTCCGGTTTCAACTATGAGACTGATGCATCGTGCTGCATGATGGAAGCATAAGCTGCGGGACCCTACCTGTGCATACCGATGGTTGACTTCTCAGTGTCCAGAACGTTTGAGGGAATGTGTCCTTCACACCACACCACAAGATCTCACAGAGATACAGTAAAGAGTAGCATTCTTGAGAGGGCCACAGCATACTGGTTCCACACAAAACACCACTGGGGAAAGAGTGCCTCCTCTGCCTCCTCCCGCCCCATGCCCGCCCCTCAGAGGACGGCTCTGTGTGCACTTGGCTTGGGAGTTTGGGCTCCTATTTCACCAATGTTACTTTTCAGAGGCCACTGAAGCCATTCTTATTAAAGAAAAATAAGAGGAATTCCTAATGCTCCTTGACTGTTGAAATGCTGCTTTTCCTCCCCAGTGGCCATTGTGACCACTGCCATTACTTTGCTCACAGATTTTCTTCAGCTGGTTAGCAGTAAAGAACCAGGGATCTTGCATGGGTCAGCCAAGGCAGACTGCACATTTAAAACAAAACACCTCAACTTGGTCACGCTTAAATTTCGCCAGAGCAATTTGTGGTTTCTCTTCTGATTGTTAAAAGTTCCTGTCCTTTAAAGCTTTGTATGTATTTGCAGGGTACAATGCATGCACCCCTACTTTATGAGATGCCTTTGTATGCACCTGGGAGAGAGCTCCCAAAGTCAACTAGTGAATACGTGTGCTACCGAACTAACAGGATATCAGCTCAGTTCCGCGCTCTCAGAGGAAATCTTTTCCTGTTGGTGGAATGACCTAGAGGCCTTGCGGGACACCTAACTAGGGCAGCTGCTCTTACTACAGAAACAAATCTCTTACCAAATGAAGCCACTGTACTGCACGACAGTTTCAGGCGTGAAGTATAATGCTGCCACTTTTCTTCAGCAATTTAGAGAGGGGATTTTAAACAGCTGTGACAATGTCTTAGAATGACTCTAACACAAAGACTCCTTTGCTGTCCGTTGCTCACTGCATCTCAAAGTACTGATATAAACAGTGAAAGTCGTGGATGCTAGATCACGTGGAGGAGAAAAATCCAGTGGGGGCCATTTAATGTGATGGTGGGCCTTCCCCTCTTTCTCTCGTGGTGGGCGAAGCAAACTGAGGGCTATCACAGATCGCATCGCACCTAAAGAGTAATGCAGTAAAGCATTCCTAAAACTGTCAGTGTTCACAGTAAAAATCAGATTTTACTTAGATTTTCTTTTCAACTTTAATGTTATTCCCCCATGAAATTGTCTCTTGTTTTAAATATGTTTCTTTTTTAAATCCAGCCTACAAAAGTTATCATTTTTTGCTATGGCTGAGGTGGCATAAAAGATAATAATATACTATTTTTAGCCAGGCTAATGTCCACAAATTTATGTTCATTTCTGTGTGAAATAAGAGTTTAAGTTTAGTGACTTTTTATGGGCACTACTATGTGATTCCTAGAAACAAGACTCTGTCAGTGGGATGTAACTGGCATCCTTCCAGAGGCCAGTGGTATCTTAGAGTGGGGCGGAATAGAGCAGAGAGGGACCTTTTGTTGTAGATGCAGACAAATGAATGATCTAGCAAAGTTTCCATCTCAGCCGCTTGGGGCATGGCATTACGGTCAGGACTGACTGTTCTTGACACAATCTGCCCGAGGAAATTAATCACCCTGCTTCACAGCACTGACCCACTGTCTCTTCACAACCCATTTCATTTAACCAGAAGGCTGGTATGTAAGAGCATTGGAGCAGACCTCAGGTTCAGCCCAGCTCTGCACTGTCCAGTGTTGACACTCCCAGGCTCACCTTCTTCATCTGCAAAATGGGATTAGTCATAATTCCTGTGATGTCTACCTCATTGGGCTGTCCTGAGGACCAAAGGGGTCAGAATGTAAACTTTAAAGTGCTGTACAATTGTGAGGTAACTGAGTACCATTCTCAGCTCTCTTTTGCAGAGGAATGAAATGTACTTCTTATTTGTATGTATGTGCGTGTTTGTGTGTACAAACATATAAGTCAGAAAAGCACACTGTTTGTGTCTGGTCACTTTGCACATATGCTGTCATTTGTCACTCTAAGGAGAGATTTGTGCTGTGGCCTAGCACTTGCCAAGTGAGGCGTAGGTTATGCCAAGATGCAAATTAAACTCCGCCTTTCTTCAGTACTTAAAAGTCTCATGGTTTCTTCATTTATCTCCTTTCCCATTTTGACACTCTCCTTCACACCAGTTGGCTCCTTTACATATTCTTTTACTTCTGCAGCTCAGGTTCAAAGAATACCTGGAAAAACTAACTCCATTTTACAGTCTGAATTACTGAATTGGAGGACAGGGTCCTCTAAAAAGATATAAATGGACTTATTCCAGTCCATTTCTAGTTCTTAAATCTATTCCAATCACATCCCCAGCCCATGTCTGAGTACTGCCAGGCATGGAGAACCCACCTGCGGTACTTCCGTGGGTTAATGTGTGAAAGCACTTCAGAGAAGTGTTCCAGCATTCAGAGCGGAGTCAGGGTACAGCTGATGAGCATGAGGACAAGCTATAGAGAGAGGCCCTCCCAGGCTCCAGGGATGGGACACAAGGAAAGTTAGCCAGGCTAATGTCCACACACCTCTTTCTGCTTGGCCACCTCACAAGGCAATGCTCTGGGTCCTGCTTTACCCATGTGCCAGAAAGATTGAGGAACAGCAAAGGAAGCAAGGCCAGGGCAGAATTCCTTCTAAGCAAGTGACACAGCAGTTGAACATTCCCTTCTGTCCTTTTCCCCATGAGAAAGCCCACACCCACACTGACACTAGCTTGAAAGAACTGGCTTTGTCAAGAAAGGGACAGGGAAAGGCTATGACAGGGGCTGTGTGAGATGAATTTCCAGAGACTTGTAATGACTGCTGTGAGTCACTTGCAGAGGTTTCCTGTCCCTGTTAAAGCTTCTTTTTCACAAGTGTAGACAGGAACAGAAAGTTATTTTCTCAGCAAGACCCCCAACCCCTGACCTAACAACTCACTAAAGTATAAATTTAGACTGAAAAATATAAGCCGTGGTGGTAAGGGGAACAGAGGGAGCTCTAAATGTTGATTATCAAAAAATTAAGGAGAACTCAAAAATTAAGGAGAAATCAAAAATTTTTTATTGTAACTGCCATGCTTTAAAAGTCTCATAGCCACTCTCCCCACATCCGTGTGGTTTTCTGAAGCTGGGAGCCAGGCTGTGTCAGGTCACTGCAGCTGACTTCGAAACAAACAAACAAATAGCACACGAGCTATTCTGAGGAGAACTAAGCTTCCACTGTCCCGCTGCCCCATCCCGCAGCCCTTCAGTCCCACAGCCCCACAGGGGGCTGTCTGCGGTACCAGAGGAGGCCACTGGGGCTCTGGGACTGTCATCAGAGTATGCCAATTGGGTCTAAGATTCCGGAGGCTCGTGATGTCATTGTGGCTGGCTCCAGTCAGATTGCTTTAATGGAACAACAGAAAAGTCTAGAAAATACCTGAGACTATCACACAAAATGGAATTACTTTGAAAAAATAAAAACCTTTCTGCTCAGTGTAAGCCCTGTGTTAATGAGAGCAGCTGCATGGGTTGGCTGGGCTGCAATGAACACAGGCGAAATGCTGGAATCCTAAGCAGAGAGCAGATGAGTAGGTGCTCACACATATGTCCTCACACCACGACTCTTCCAGGCTCCCAGGAAACCCTCCCCTGTTCCCCCCCACCCACCCCAGCTGCAATCCGCATCTCATGCAAAGGCTGAGCAAAAGTATTTTTGTTGTGGGTCAAGTTTAAGGAGGACACTGGCCCACTCAGGGGACCACAATTCTTGTCCAGTACCCCCTGTCCAGCAACTCTCTGAGCCTGGCCAGACTCTCCTAAGAAGGGAGAGAGGGGAGTGAGCCGGTGACGTTGATGTGGCTGCAGAAGCCGGGTACGTGATGGCCAGGAGGAGCCCAGGCAGGCTCCTTTGAAATGGCAGGGCCACTGTCCAAAACCAGCGAGGTTTGTTGCTATTCATAGGCACCTTTCAGTGGCGGATGTCCCGGGAGGCTGTTTTTAGCAAGGATAAGGTCTGCTGGGCTGTCAGGTGGTCATGTGAGTTGGTGTGAATAGAAAGTGAGAAAGTGTACGCTCTACTTCAATTCCGTGATCTTGAACTTGATGGCGATGCTCACTGGTTGTCCCTGAACCCCCGTTCCAGACCCCCGTTCCAGACGACAAGTTGTAAGGAGGCCTTCTTGCTCCTAGACTTCCTCTCAGACTTTATTCTCCAGGGCTAAGCCCTCTCACCTCCAAGGGAAGTGTTGACCCAGCAGGTAGTTCCTCTGCAGGCCCTTATACCCCAAGCTAGAACTGCCTCCCACTCCCGCCCTAGGAGAGTTGCAGCACCAACCCATCTCAGAGCAAGAACTGTCTGCAGACCAGGCTGGCAGGCCACGTCGAAGGTCGGCCTGTTCCAGGGACAGGCAAACGTTTCACAGAAATGGCAGGCTCTAGAAAGGACACCTGGCCAGTGGCAGAATGGTCAGGGGCTGCCCTTCAAGGACACAGCTGGGCGAGCCAGTGCGGCTGGAGGTCTGACGTGGGATTGGTGGAGAGAGACAGGACCCGCCCAGCACAGCAGCCTTTTCTAGGCTGAGCCCGGAAGGCTCCCGTTACACTTGTTGGCTGTGTGCACGCAGCAGGACCTGGATAAGACAGACGCGTCCAGCTTCAAGGTCAGTGAGAGGATCGAAATGCTTGATTTCTCCACAGAGGTGCAGTACTAGAGCCAGTGTGGTGAGCCTTGGCGTAGGAAATCCCCAACCACGTAGGAAACACTGGGAAACGGTGTGTGGGCCAGAGAGAGATGGGAACTTGCTGCCCCCGTAGGGTAGCCCTTGTGTGAAATCGCCTTTTCCCTGGGGCATCAGCACTGGCAGCTCAGCTGGAGAACCCAGAGCCTTAGCTTGCAGTGTCTCTGCTTCACAGGGAAACAAGAACTTCCGTGGGAAAAAAAATTCTAAATGTGGAATTATGACCCTGAACTTGGGGTAAGTTTAAATGTCACATTTCGTTCTCTAATAACTTGCAGAGAGCAATCTGCTCATGTCTGGTAGTGTTTTCCTCACCTGCACCAAAAGAGATGCCCAGTGACTTGGCGTGAACTAGCTAGAAAGTGTGAGTTTCTCAAGGCTCTCCAAGAGCAAAACCAGCTAATGCTGGTTAATGCTACTGCCAGGGTTACCCTTGAAGGTGTTGATATACTGAAAACGAACTGTGTAACGTCCTGTTTTTAGAAGAAAAAAATTTAAAAAGCTTCCTATGGCTGATGGTGACCCACTCCTCACGTGCTTGGCTCCTGGGATGGTCATTATCAGTCCTGCCCTGTCCCTGTGTGTAAAGTCCGCGCCTTGGAAGCTCTGCTTTGACTGTGTGGAAAGCAGCACTTGTCCAGCAAACCAAAGTCCCCCTCACCCTCAGCGCTGTCTTCTGGACCTTCCTCCCCAAGCATGCAGTTCTGTGGCCACCACAGTGCTGTCTGGGTCTCTGGGGTGGCGGTCAGGACACTCAGGACAATGCCATCTTAGATAAACTGTGTACTTCCCAGGAGGCTGTGCACATCTCGCGTCCTGTCACATCTGTGCCATTCTATTATCCGTCCTTTCATGGAAAACTTGACATTAGAGGCAGCAGGAAGAGTCACCCTTCCTGGACTTACTGTCCGTCGGCAGCTGCTGAGGCCTTGCAGGCCTCTCACACTGGGAGGCATCTTTTTCAAGGCCCCTGTGCTTGGAGCCGAGCGCGTCTGTGGACTAAGCTATGCACAGCCTCTCATGGTAAAATAATGGCTTCAGAGCCTGGACTGTGGACTTGCCACTCTCAAAAAGAACAGCAGAGACAGAGCCAGGAAGCAGGAGTTGGGGTTTGGAATAAGGTGTGATAGGAGTCAGAGGTAGGATGGGGACTGAGTCTGGGACTGATTCAGGCCCCACCCCAGAGGCCTGGAGTCACCATCACTGCCAAAGTCCAGAGGAAGATCCACTTGTGTTTCTTGAGGTCACATGTGGAATCTGTGTCTAGTGTTCTGGGAGTTCTTGCCAGCTGAGCCAGGTACCTCACACAGAGCCAACCCTGAAGGTGACCGTCGGAGGTCATATGCACCCCTGTGTCACCAGAGAAGATGGCTTTCCACTCTACTACAGCTGTTCCAGCTGCCCAGAGGGCTCTATGGCCTTTAGGTCCCCCATTCTCTTGGAAATTTTTTCTCTTGAAAGACAATTTTGAAAAGATCTGGGTCATCTTTGCAAGCGGGGCTGGGAAAGGCCTGTCTCTTAGGGAAGAACCCTATGTCTTTCCCTTATGACTTCCGTTTGCTGAGTCAGACAGGAAGGCCAAGAGTGCCCATTAAGGTTGACCTTGCATCCCGTCATGAGAAGTCATTCGGTCCCTCTGCTGTCCCAGAGCGGGGAAGCCACAGCAATTTCCTGCTTGCCTACAAAACTAGCATCATGAGAATTTGTTCACAAAATTCTCTAGTGTTGGGAAAACCTCAGTGACATCCTCTGTTTTGGGGGTGACTGTGAATCGACAGCTGACAGCACTATTCCCTTCCTTTCAACTACCTTCCAGCCTAGCAAAGCTCGGGCACGTGGTTGTGGTGCACAGCAGGACCAGAGTAACTCTGAATTTCTGAATTGGCAGAGAGGCACTCATGGGTCTCCACCTCCAGGATATCCAGGGCAAGGAGAAGCTTCAGAAGTAGGGTAGTTCATGACATGATGGAGCCAGAAAGAAGACCAGGAATCTGAGACCCAGTCTCCAACTGGGTCAGAAAAAAAAATCACAGCTCCTTGGCCCTCTGTCTAAAGAACTCACTCTGGCTTTCCTTCTTTGATGTGGAGAGCAAATGGAGGCGTGAACACGATCCCAAGCCTTTGGCTTAGTCAGGCTATGTTCTTATACATTGCCCCACACACAATTTTTTCCTGGCTCAGAGCTCCAAAATTCAATTTTAACCGAAATGCTATTGAAAAACATGCTTTTAAACATACCAAGAGTAATAGAGCTGTTCCAGGCTGGGGCAATAGAGAGAGAGCCTCTCCTATTAAGAGCCTCCCCACTCCTCCTCTTACCCCTAGCCCCACATGAAGGGAGAGAGGATGGGAAGAGAGAGAAATCAGGT